GTAACACACTACACCGTCATGGCTTAAAATCCTGCAGCGCATGCAAAGTCGCTCTGCTCAAGCCAGCACATGTCCAGGCCTGTCTGAAGTTTGCCAAAGACCATCTGGATCATCCAGAGGAGGCATGGGAGAAGGTCATGTGGTCAGATGAGACCAAAATAGAACTTTTTGGTATAAACTCCACTCGCCGTGTTTGGAGGAAGAAGAAGGATGAATACAGTCCCAAGAACACCATCCCAACCGTGACACACGGGGGTGGGAAACATCATGCTTTGGGGGTGCTTTTCTGCAAAGAGGGACAGGATGTCTGCACCGTATTGAGGAGAAGACGGATGGGACCATGTGTCACAAGATTTTGGGCATCAACCTCCTTCCCTCAGTAAGAGCATTGAAGATGGGTCGTGGCTGGGTCTTCCAGCATGACAATGACCCCAAACACACAGCCAGGGCAACTAAGGAGTGGCTCCGTAAGAAGCATTTCAAGGTCCTGGAGTGGCCTAGCCAGTCTCCAGACCTGAACCCAATAGAAAATCTATGGAGGGAGCTGAAACTCCGTGTTGCCCAGCGACAGGTGTACCTACGATGAAAATTACAGATCTGTCCATTCTCTGTAAGTAGGAAAACTTGAAAAATCGGCGGTGTATCAAATACTTATTTGCCCTACTGTACATAGAAAGAGAAGAAAACTGTTCAAATATGAGACGGAAGATTGTTCTACAAAAGAAAAGGCGGATTCACCGTGAGACTTGAGGCAGACCTTCAGGACAACTGGCAATGTCTGGTCCAAGAACCTGAGTGTTCTGGTCAGAGTATAGTGATGGAGTAAGTCAAGAATGTAATGAGGAGCAGTTTCATTTAGTGCTCCACAGGTCAAAAGCAGAATCTTAAACTGAATCCTAAAATGTGCAGTGAGCCAGTGCAGGGAAGCTAGCACAGGTATAATGTGCTTGCCTGTCAACAGGCAAGCAGCACCATTTTTGACACACTGCAAACGATCCAGAGAAAATTGGTTAACACCCATTTAGAGAGAATTACAGTAATCAATGTGATTTGAAATGAAAGCATGGATACATTGCTCAAAATTTTTTAAACCTACAAATTGTTTGACCTTTAACAAGACTCTAAGTGGAAAGAGACTGGTTTTGACAAACAAGTTCATTTGTTTGTCCAGTTTTAAATCACAATCAATAGTAATACCCAAGTGTTTAACACAAGTATTTAAATGGCCCAGGTTAACATTCTAAAACATACCTGTTTTAGGAAGCCATGCACCTGCCATTGTATTTGTTCAATAAAACTGAAGGGTGTCTTGCAATCCATTAGAAGAATGTATTGACTGGTTTTTGCACACTTGTTGTACAGTAGCTAGTCGTAACTGTTTTCATGCATGCTTGTGTGTGCTATGTAAATCGTAATAATTCACCTGTGCCCTGTCTGTAGCTGAATAATGCAGCTGCAGCCTCCCAACTGTTGTCCATTAAGCAGCTCCAACGGAGCAGTTTGGGATTAAGTGCCTTGCTGATGAGAACCTCAACCGTAGTTGTTAAGGGGATAAGGGAGCCCTGCCCACTTACTTCGCTTGCTTGCTTTCCCAGTTGCTCAAGGTGTGCGTGTGTTTGTAAGGTCCTATTAAACATTAGTCCCTGTAGCACTGCAGTGCGTCAGCAGTATTATGTGGCAAATAAATTAGTGTAAATAAATGCAGTGTAAATAAATTAATGATTTTAAGGCAACTGCTTTTAGCTTCTTGCTGTCTAAATATATAAATAAAATATTAATGCCCACATGCCTGCAAAGGTGATCAACAGGGAGACAGAATACGTTTTTAAATAATGAAACAAGGTAGCGTGCATTGTATTATGCTCACTGAACAGAATACATAATGTGCTTTGTTCATAAAGGAAAAACAGTCGTCTGGTATACATAGAAATGTCTGTTTAGTTGTAGATTAAATTGCACTTTTTCATCTTGAAGTTTTGTTTATACACACAGCATGTGACGAACTCTAAAAGGCAACTCTGGTGGAAAAATGATGAATATATTTTGTGACCATTTGAATATTGTGTGGTGTGTAATAATCTGTATCCTTTTTGTTCACTTGCAGATGTGGATGAGTGTGCAGCAGGGTTAGCGGTTTGTCCCAGGTTCAGGAAATGCATCAACACCTTTGGTAGCTACATTTGCAAGTGCCATGATGGGTTCGATCTGCAGTACATCAATGGGAAATACCAATGCATAGGTACTGTTAGGCTTTTACATAAAAAACTTCCAAAAATCATAGATGTGTCAAATAGTCTGTAGTAGTTGGAGATTGCTTTTAGACTCACTGATCAACATTAATAACTGTTTACTTAAAAAGTGTGATTTTATTTATGCAATCTGTTTATAGTTCTGTGAATGTATCAGAGTTTGTTTTTGGTGGTTAAAGCTGCAGGATTTAATGTTGTATGGAGCCTCGTGAGGTTTTTCAGAGAGGCAAAACTTAGGACACCTCTGATTACAAGTCACCACATGGCACAGCCATTCATAATAAGTTAACTGACATTTATTATTGATAAAAAAGTTGAAAGGACTCAACTATGAAACTGAAGGACTATTGCACACTGAAGAAGGTATGCCCAAAATATCAGTGCATTTTTCACCCCTCTGCATGTGGTAGTTTGAAGGAAACATCTCAGTGATGTGGGTGTATGAACCCTCTTTTTTTGTGCTATGGCATGAGTATTCTTTAGAAATCCACTTTACCTTGAATCTTATTTCCAGTCTTTATATATTTGTTTTTAAGAACAAACTTTCAAGAGAAAATGGTGATTTAAATGATTTGGTGGCAGATGTACCTAAAATGCTTCAAAGACCTTGCAGCTCTGTATCAAAGGGAAGATTTTCACCCTCATAATAATTTTGCTTTTGGCATTCACTTAAATGCTTTCACTAACAGTACGTTCGACATAAACTTTGGGCCCTCGTTGACATGGATGTGAAACAATTAGTCTGCTGCTGTTATGTCTGAAGCTTTTTACACTTGCACCCGCTAGCTGAATGTTATTATGTTTCCATTATCTTTCAGATGTGGATGAGTGCTCCTTAGGTCAGAGCCACTGCAGCAGCTTTGCCACCTGCTACAACACGCCAGGCTCATACAAGTGCAAATGCAAAGACGGCTACAGGGGGATGGGCCATGACTGCAAACGTAAGAACTGGGAACAAAATCCTGGCCCCCATCTTCACTTTTGCAAAGGGGAAAGGGGCCTCACATTTTTGTTTTCTTTGAGCATGCTTTTTTTTTAAGATAGGTAAGGTAAGAAAGAGGGAGGAAGAGCACAGAGCTATGACTGAAATTTCATTCTTTGTCAGTCCAGCACCCTTATCACATGTGCCCAGAGTGACCCTTGATGGCTACTTTAATCGGCCTAAAAAGAGGAGTCCTGATCAAATGTGAAATATTCTTTTCCTGATCGTTTGTCTCATCCTGCTTTCATCCTTCATTAATCTGTACGTCTGCAGTTTTTTCAGCAGCTCTAATGACAAGAAGCCATTTATTTGCCATGATTTAATCATCTAAAAGAACACAACTGGTGTAGCAGTCCACAGAGCAGAAAGGATGCCTCCTGATGCCGTGCACTGTGAATATTTAGCCTGTCACCTGCCCATGGGGTGTGAGCCACAAGTGCTCTGGGCGTCAAGTTGCAATATCCTATTTATGTATCACATATCAAAGTTTCCTGCAGCCCAAGAAGGCAATAGCTGAGTTCAAACCACTTGGCTTTGTCCACTCTCATTCCTCACTCATGCAACCCTCAAAGACCCCAATCCCCGGATCTCTGTTTGTCTCTGCTTCTGACATGAAGAATGTGCAAAGCAACAAAGCATAAGAAGGTGTAGCTGGGATGACATCAGTGCAGCAAAGGCGATCTCCAGGGCACAGCACCCTGTCTGAACACACAGATCGTTCCACACACAGAGCAGCTTCAGCTTGACGCTGCGAGGCCTCTAGCCAGGAGTACACAAAGAACTACTAATCAAGATGAGCACATGAATGAAACCACTGTCAGAAAGCAGAAATAATTTCACAAAAGCAGACATTTATTTGCATGTAGGGTGCTTTGTGGCTTCTGTGAAGGAACATATTAGATACCCATGAACCCACCTCTCTCTCTCTCTCTCTCCATTTTAACAGTCCCATTTAAGGAAATGTGTCCAGAATTGTCTTTTTTTAAAACCTTACAATGGATGAATGTGAACTTCATTCACTGATTTTATAGACAACTTCTTGCAAGTGAGAGCTTTTGCTTCACTAAGATTTCAGACACTCAGTTTGTTTTAGGATACTAACATGTAGTTAATAGATATCAAGAGAAGTCTCAGTAGATGAAAGAAAGCCCCCTCTGCAGAAGTCAGGCTAATCATTGCAGTTAGTCTGCAATTCTCTGCCTCATTAACTCTGAATTGCTCATATTGCAGTGCTCCATCTGCATTCTCTTATTATTTCAGCCATTCCTAAGGTGGTTATTGACCCTCCGAGACCAGGCATACTGCCTCCAAATCATCACAACCACATCCCAGACCTGGATCACAAGAGGCCTACCACGACCATCCGCCCAACAGTGACTCCAAAAAGGATCTTCCCTGTTATCCCGACATCAACAACAGCTACAACAACCACAACAGAAGCACCTCTGCCTCCAATGAGGGTCACCCCGCCTCCACGCAAGCCATCACTTCCCACCAGGAAGCCCTTCATCCCAACCAAGAAGCCACCAATACCCACACGCAAGCCTTACATCCCACCAAGGCAGGTAGCTCCGACCAGACAGCCCCCAACACCACCACCAGCCACCCCTGTAGACAATACCATCCAGAATGAGGTCACCAGGCAGAGAGGGGATGTCCATAGTAAGTACTAGATTTTTATTTTGCCTCATTTTATTTAGCTGACCCAATAATATTCTTGCAAGTCTGCAGAAAAGATTTTCACACCTTTTGCACCATTTTAAAGCACACACAAGTTCTTGAGCTTCTAAATCTAAGGTAAGAGTTTGAGTATTATAGGCCTGTTCACAAATACTAATAATATAAGCACACCTTTAAAGCCACTTAAATTATTTCTTTGGCCACAGTACAACAAACTGTAAACACAAAACTGACTTGTTTTCACCTTTGCAGTTGATATGATGAACTTGCATCCAGGAGGAGACATGGCGCAGCATTAGCATTCATCTGGAGTCATGTTTCTGGCCATATGATGACCATAAGCTGAATATTCGCTCCCCTTTTAGTTAAATTTTTGGTTTGAAATAACTCCAGTGTGAAATATTTTACTCTTCAGGGTCTAATTATTTTTCACTGAAAATAGAAGCTGTGTTGGGAAACAACATTGATGAGAGCGAGTGAGAGTGAACTGAAACTGAAGTTGCAGGCTATGACAGTAAAACAATGAGCTGAAAGAGATAAGATAAGATAAGATGATCCATTATTGTCATTGTAACATATACAATGGAATTTTAGAGTGACCTCCAGTCAGTACAGCAATAATTTGATTTGATTTGATTTATTCTTTCAAGCATGTAAAGACAGTTGATATGCCAACACACATAATTTTACACATATCCAACAAATGCTAATCCAATATCAATTTGCTTATACCTAGTACATGCTTGAATGGAGTAGGAAGAAGTCAGACTTATCCAGTCCTACCCCATGACATCATCTTACCATCATTGGTTTGCAAGCAATAAATGATTCACTTCTATTCTCTTCTACACCACACAAGTAATATATTAAAGAATTATTACA